CTCCTAAAATGTTTTCTGCCTGTCTCTGGGGACTCACCAGGGACAAGGTAAAAATAAACTTCAGCACTTGGATAACGGCACATCCCTGTTTCTCAGTGGACTGAGGCTGGCTTTTCAGCAGATCAAACAGAACTTAGGGAAGACCTCAGACCCAGAAGCACCACCGAGTGCCGGGATCCCCTCCAGGGTGAGAAAGCTAAAGGCAGAGAGCTGCAGCCTTCCCTGCCAACATTCCCCAGACATTCCATCTATGCTCTTAACTCTTTACGACTTAGAGAACCCACGAGTTTCCACATAGTCAAGCAAAAAGTCCCAGTCTGTAGCAGCACTGGAGAAATTGCTATTTCCGTGGGCAATTTGTAAAAACCCAGGCATTTTCTTTGGAAGCCTCCCAAGTTTAGGCTGGGATTGAAATGGCTGTAAAGAATACTTATCTGATGAATTTCATATCAACATCCAAGATTTGGAGGAAAGCAGAGAAAAGGAGGTAAAGTCAACTATCCTGTTTTTCTCCCCATGATGGGTTACTTCCTATAAATGGCCTTGCTGTTTTATTACACGTTGGGTAAGCTACAGGTAGAGCTTAACCCAAGGAAGGTCGCTCAATTAAATGAGTTATAACTATTGGAATTTCATACATTGTTTTGATTGTTGATTACTTTAGAAGGGCATCTGCATCCTAATTCAATAAGTTATATACCAAAGGGTGACATTCCATAGCTCCAAGGGGAAGAAGGGGGAGGGGAGAACGCAGCCACAACGTAGATGTACAATTAAGAGAAAGAGCACGTTTAATTTTTAACGTCATTTTGATTGCCTAGTCCTGAAATATCACGGTAAGTTACGACGCATGTTTGCCTTCTCCACATTTGCTTATTTATTATCTGTCTCTTCGACCCTAACCTTTAACAGAAAATAGAAACGTAAATCTACTAATCTACTGGCTTGTCATGGAGTCCTTTGTAACCACAGTTTGCATTTGGCTCTGTCATTTCCTGTGTGGCTTTGGACAAATTAATTAACTCCTCTGACTTATTTCTTGATCTGTCGGATGGAAATAATGCCTACCTCGCTAGGTGGCTGTGACGATTACATGAGGTGACATACTGAAAGTGGATAATGAAGAGCATGGCATGTGGCTATTATTCCCCCGCCACCTTATCATGATCTGGTAATTCAAAGACTCTATCCACCAGTGATAATATGAAACGCTTAGCATAAAAATCTGTGTTTCTCTAAATTATGTTCTTTTATTACCTTTTCTCCTTTTGCTATGGATTTATGCATTGATTTGTTTAATTAATATAGGATAGCCTCTATTTGTTTATTTTTGGAGGAGCCTCTCTATGTTGCCCAGACTGATCTCAAGCTCCTGGCCTCCTGTGATCCTCCTGCCTCAGCCTCCCAAAGTGCTGGGATTACAGGCATGAGCTACCTCACCTGGCCCATTTTAATTTAAACCCTTTTTTGGATAGTTTTATCATTTTTCCATGAATAAGGGCTCTAGGGCAAAACACAATGCATATTTTATTCCTGTATACCACTCCTTTATTTTTATACCCCGGTAATGAAAAGCAAACGGGTACTACAGAATCTTGCCTTTCTACAAACATCCCATCACCAGAAAGTTTTATCTAAGAGGGAAGGGAAGGGAGGGGAGGGGAGGGGAGGGGAGGAAGTAGGACCTTAGGAAAAGAAGAAAGAAAGGAAGGGAGGGAGCAGAAGGAAGGCAGGGAGGGAGAGTGAAAGGGAGGGAGAGAGAAAAATAAATTAAATTAAAAAGCCAACAGTATGCAGAAAATGATGCTTCCATTAACATTAGCTAACTGCGTCGGTATTTTCATGAAAAAACAAATGCAAGATATATCACAGTTAGCTTCAGCGTGTGTGCCCTGAACTCATGCTCTCCATCCTCTGGGGATTTTGGCTGTAAACCAGACTCTTATCCGAAGTATAAAATTATGGAGAAGATAGGGACAGTTCTAAAGGCATTGTTTTATCCTATGATTAAATAATGTGACTTTAAAAATTTAGAACATTAAATATATATTTACTTTATGGTCTGGGAATCTTTAAGTGTAAAGGTGCCATAATAATCCCCTTTTTAAAAATGACTGAATATAAACAAGAATTCCGGAGAACAGCAAGACCTACTCAAGCTTCCCTGAAATCTTTACCATTTGTGGGGATGGGTGGCGTTCTTTAGGTGGTCTTGCTCTGGAGTCTGGAATTGGAGCCCGGTGACATCAGCAGTCTTTGTGCCCATGGAAACTCGGGGTGACAGTGCTGTTGAAGGATGCTGCCGGGTTTTGCTGGCCCTGTATCTCCAATCACCTACATGATTCTGCTCTAGCCTTTACTGATTGATTGAGGCAGATTCTCGCTCTGTCACCCAGGCTGGAGTGCAGTGGTGTGATCTTGGCTCATTGCAACCTCTGCCTCCCAAGTTCAAGTGATTCTCCAGCCTCACTCTCCCAAGTAGCTGGGATTACAGGCGCCCACCACCATGCCCAGCTAATTTTTGTATGTTTAGTAGAGATGGGGTTTCACCTGTTGGCCAGGCTGGTCTCAAACACCTGACCTCAGGTGATTCACCTACCTTGCTCTCCCTAAGTGCTGGGATTATAGGTGTGAGTCACTGTAGCTGGCACTGCCCCAGCCTTTAAATCACTAATTCAGAGTGTCACAGGGCAGTTCCCCAGATGGCCTCTGAGAGGCTATGCATGCAAGTGGCATGGCTGCCATTGACCACAATGTCCTTGCTTTTCAAAGGGATGTAGAAACCTCAGAGCAATTCACTATACGTGTGTGTGTGTCCGTGTGAGTGTGTGACTGTGTCTGTGTGTGTCTGAGTATGCATGTGCATGTCTCTGAGTCTCTCTGTGTGTGTATCTATGTGTGCTCATGTGTGCCTGTGTGTGTGTGCCTGGCTCTGAGAGTCTCTATGTATGTGCCTGTGTGTGTGTCTACTGTGTGTCTGCGTGTCTGTCGTGGTGAGTCTCTGTGTCTGTGTGTATGTCTATGATATGTTCATGTGTGTGTGTACATATGCATGTGCCTAGCTCTGAGTCTCTATGTATGTATCTGTGTCTGTGTGTGTGTGTCTACTGTATCTTTGTCTCTATGTGTGTGTCTGTGCATGTGTGTCTCTTGTGTCTATGTGTGTGTCTGTGGGTCTGTTATATGTCTGCATGTGTCATTGTATGTCTTGTGTGTGTCTATATATGTGTGTCTGTGTGTTTGTGTGGGTCACTGTATCTATGTGTCTGTCTCTGTGAATCTCTATGTATGTGTCTGTCTCTTGTGTTTCTATGTGTGTGTACACACCTTCTTCTTACGGAGAGGGAAGTCCCAGCATAGAGGGTGCAAGCAGCCTGCCAGGCTACCTGAACACTGTGACAAAGCTGGAGACACCAGGGCTCACCAGGCGAACACGTGACCGGGACTGGGCTAACGCCCACTTCTCTTCATCACTTTCCTTATTTTTTTCTCGAGAATTATAGAAAACAAGCATCTTCAGGAATTTACCACTTAGTTGATCACAAAACTTAAAAAGTAATGGATGAGGACAGAGTGACCTCTTGGCGTCTAAAGGGTGGGAACACCATGTTTGACACCAGGAAGACAGAATGAGAAACAGTCACTGGCTCACCCCTCCTTCTATGAGATTTTAGCTACTATTTGGGGTGAAAAGAGTCAAGTACCGAATTGGCTGGCCAGATAGGGTGAGTCACTGAGTGCCTATTATAAGCCCTGGGGAAACAGCGCAAGTAGAAGCTGAGGTCTTGGTCCTGAGATTGCACATTGGGGAAGGGAACTAAGGCTGGGAGCTCTAACTCAGTGGCTGACCTGGGACGGAGGCAGGCGTTGCTGGTGCCGGGAGTTCCCTAAGCAGAAGAGGAGCTGGGACTTTGCATGGCAGAGCTGACCGCCAGGCGCTGACACCCAGTCCCTTGTCCCCCAGCTCCCACCGCCGTCCCACTGTTTAATCGTCTTCCCTATCTCTGCGTTTCTGTGTTTTCCATCCCTGCTCCCAGACCCTCATTCACTGCTTTTGTAAAGACAGAGGAATTTTTTTTTAAAAGCAACAAATGCCTTCGCCTGGCTCTGGGGATGTCTTACGACATAATTACTGCCTTGAAAAGGAATTGGAGAAACCACGTTGTAAGTAATGTGTAGTGCAATTATGAAAGAAATTTGCAAATACATAAATAGGCAGAAAACAGCACACACATGGAGAAGTATATTTATAGCAGCTAAAGAAATGTGTTCAGAAGTGCAATCTCATGTAACCCATCTTAATCATTCAGGGGTTATTTATTTATAAAATGTCAGCCATAAGATTGGTTGAGGAACTCCTATCTCAGGTTAAAGTCAGCTACTAGTACAAGTAGCATTTTAAAAAAGGTTCTCTTGGATGCATTTTGTTATCTTTTACTGATCTGATCCGAAGGTAAAGGACAATTTCTCCACTAGCAAAGCCCAGTATATATGAGGCCCAATATCAAGAAACTTCAAGGAATTATGGCCTTAGCGTAAGCCAGATCTGTTCTTTTGGAAGAACAAAAGATGATCAATAGGCGATTTATTCCAAAGTCAGGCTGAGAAGGTGAAAGGAAAATAAATAAATCCACAAGAGTGAGAGGGAAAGGCAGAGATGCACTCAAAAATGCCCATCAGCTGTATTTTCTAGTTTTATAGAAAGCAGATTTCTTTTGTGCTTTGTGTGCAGTGAGCAGGCACCTCTACTTCTGTGTCACGTAAGGACTTTTCCAGGTCTTAACTACTAATCTGCGTTTTAATTCCGCATTCCTTTCCTGCCTTCCAACACAGGGCTCAAACTGAGGTTGAAATTTGCTGCACATTTCTTTCTCTCATTCCATTGAATGTCACAAAGCAATCTCTACGTGTAATCAAAATGCTGGGCGGGGGTTATGTTGGAAGCTTTGTTCTTTAAATGAACGTGGCCCATCACTCTGTCAGCGCTCTTTCTTTCTTTTTAATTCAGTGTTAACTTTGTCTACAAGCTCATTTCAGGTTAGACATTTGATCAACATCATTACGCATCAGTGCCCTTAAAAACGTAAAAATACCTTATTGAGATATAACTGATACACCATACACTTCAGCCGTTTAAAATGTACAATTCAGTGGTTTCTTAGTTTCATGATAGGATTGTACAACCACTGCCACAATCTGAGAACGTTTTCATCCCCCCAAAAGAAAACCCCACACTCATTAGCTGTGATTGTCATTCCCCATCTCTCCTCACTCCCCCTAGCTACTGGCAGCCTTTTATCTCCTTTCTGTCTCCATAGATTTGCCTATTTTGGACGTTTTATATTAATGGGGTCTTTGTGGCTGACTTCTTTCACTCAGCATAATGTTTTTAAGATTCATCCATTTGTAGCATGTGCCAGTACATTATTTTCTTTGCTGAATAATATTTGATTATGCGGATAGATCATATTTTGTTTATCTATGCATCAGTTGATGGACATTTGGGTTGTGCCCACTCTCTGGCTATTATGAATGATGCTGCTATACACACCTGTGTAAGCATTTTTGCAAGGCGTAGTTTTTCGTGTCTCTTGGGCACATACCTGGGAGTGGAATTGCTGGGTCAGATGGTCACTCTATGTTGAACCATTTGAGGAGCTGTCAGACAGTTTTCCAAGCAGCTGTACCATTTTACATTTCCACTAGCAGTGTGTGAAGGCTCCAGTTTCTATACCTCCTTGCCAATCTTGTTTCTGATTACAGCCATCCTAGTGAGTGTGAAGTGGTTTTTGGTTTTCTAGCATTCTTGGTTTTCTAGCTGGATCCCATGACGTGGCCTTTGGGTAGGATAGGGTGGAGGCAGAAACAGAAAGCGCTGTTTCTAGGGTCCTGGACTGCTGTCCCCCTTGCTTTAGGCCCCAGCGGGCTGCTGCAGATGGAATCTGGGGGAAAGAGGCTGGGGTACTGGAGAGCCTGGAATGTTCTCTTCCTCTCTCAACAGCCCTTCCATACCACCTTCTTCTGCTCCTGACTCTCTCACATCCACCATGGAGGCAAAAGTCCAAGTATTTTTGGAAGTTACCATTTGTCATTTTCTAATCCGGGTTGCAGTTCGTTGGAAAAAAAGGATATTTAGAAATAGCACTGGTATGGTTAAGTGAGTGGGTGATATGCAAAACCCAAACCCAAACAGTCTTGAAATCCCAAGGCGCTTCAGGACTGCTCACTAACACATTTAATCCCATATTTGGGTCTGGAAAATGTCCCAGCTCCAACCAAGAGCCATCATGGCATCATCATTTCTCAACCTGAGAACCCAGAAAACCCATTTATATAAATGCTAGGACAAGGACACTCACTAGGTTCATTTTGGGGACTGGAGAATAATCTTTAAAAAATGCTTTGCTGTGTATATAAAAATATTTTGGGTCCCTGGGAAAGTACAGGAGAGGCAGGAGCTGCCCTCTGGCTTAAGCACTCCCGAGGAGCAAGCCAAGAGCTATGTTTAGAAATATCCCCCTCAAGATCCACACATGATTATACGAGAGATCCTATGGCCATAAAAGTGATATCATCTATCAATTACCCATTAGGAAAGTAAGCTCCCATATGTATACCAGGCCCCAGTAGAAATAAAATCAGAGCCGCCTGAATTAAATCAGTTCAGGCCAGGAATCGGAAATTAAATGTCCTCAGACCCTCTTTTCTTAATCTCTGGTTATTTGGTTTCCATGAAATTCATCCTTTCCCAAGGATGATTTTTGAGTGCATACTTCGCAAGCATGTGTGTGTGTAATCAAAGCCTTATGTGAAAAATACATACTTTGTTTTGTTTAGGGGTTACACACACTCAAAAGAGCAATGGTCTGGGGCCTGCTGGGAGTGAAGTTGTAAAGCAGAGGTCCTGTTCATAACAAAAGGGGATCTGCTTGCTTGAGAAGGGGTCTCAAGCTTGAGAGGGGGAGGTGGCCCTAGAGTCACCTCCTTCACTCAGAGGAAGATTAAGCCGAGTGAATGCTCCTATGAGCATTAGGAGAGTTCTTTGGGAGATGATTAACACTCCCTTTCCAAAGAGGAATTGAGAAGAGGTTTAAAAATGTGCGTCTAGAAGCTGGGAAGAGGCTGGAGGCTTGCTTAGTGAGGAGAACGTCAGTGTCTCTTTCAGATATAAAGGAGGTTGAGTAGAATTTTTAAGAGGTAAATAGACCTAAGAACACTTTGTTTTAACCTATAACTTAAATTCCTTTGAACTCTTGATTCGGGGGTATTCTGTTGTTTATAATAGCGATTAGAAGGGTTTTCAGTTTTCAATGCACTACTCACTTCTCATAAAGTCTCTTTTCTCTCTAAAACTCATCTTTCTAAATTAGCAGTCTTCCTTTTTAAAAAATCTCGAGTGTCTTGAGTGTAATAGGGATGTAATGAGTACTGAATGAATGAAACTACCTATGTTCTGGGAAAGCACAGGTTGTGGCCTAGAAATATTAGGGGGCCTTGCCTACGTGAAATCCACCCTGGTGCAGCTGAAACTCTCTAACAGGTATCATTCTTCTCATGTTGGCTTCTCAAGAGCGGGCCTATGAGCACCCCATCCCCTTTCTTACTCGGAAATGAAAACCACACTCACCACGGCATAGACAATACTGGGGACCTGATAAATGGAAATGGAGAGGCTGCACTAATGTAAGTGGGGTCAAAGTTCGTCCCTGCTGTAGGGCGGATACAATTTTGGCAAGCAACGACTTTTGGAAGCCATTTTCTAGACTGCATTTTTCTCTTGCTTTCTTAGAATGCTTTTCTCCAGGGGAAAAAGAAAGCAGAGGTGTAAAAGATATCTGGTCATTTGAGGGGCCCAGCTGGGAAGCTCTCTGCTGACCACAGCACTGTCTCTCCCCAGGGCTCAGTCCCACAGTGTCACTGAGTCCAGAGACTGGGACTCCAACAAGCACTCTGCATTCCAACATGATTGGTAAACAAACAAACAAAAAACCCCAAAAAACTATTTATTCTAGTCCATCACATTTTCTATATTTCCTAGAGAAATCTTGATCACCCTATAAATGATTCATTAAAATTAAAAATATAGGCTAGGTACAGCAGTTTATGCCTGTAATCCCAATGCTCTGGGAGGCTGAGGCAGAAAGATCACTTGAGGCCAGGAGTTCGAGACCAGCCTGGGTAACATGGAAAGACCCTCATCTCCACAAAAATAATAAAAAAAAAATTACCTGGGGGCCTAAGTCCCAGCTACTTGGGAAGCTGAGGCGAGAGCATTGCTCGACCCTGGAGTTGGAGGCTACAGTGAGCTATGATTGCACCACTGCACTCCAGCCTGGGCAACAGAGAGAGACCCTGCCTCTAAAAATCAAATCAAATAAAATCTAATCAAAAAATTAAAAATTAAATTAAAAAACTATTATTTTAACAAAAATCTTCTCATGAAATCACACCTAAACCAACAATAATAGAAAAATCCAACACAAATAAAACAAAACAGAAAGCTGCCGTGATTGATCTGTCTTGAGTTGGTCAATGGAGATTGGACTAGTCAATGAATCAGACTTGTATTCAAACTCAAAGAAAGAAAGAAACGAGTCCTTTGATATATGCAAAATCAGGCCTGTTTCAGGATAATCTTGTTAATTTAGTGAGTTGCCTAGACTACTGCTAACGAATTTAGGCTGTCCTTTCTCATGAAGATCTCTTAAGGATAAAATATGCATTTTGAGCTCTGCTTCTTGGAACCATTTAAATGAGCCTACCTGCAGGTGATGTGGCGTGTTCTTGGTCTGTGTTTGACTGAGGATGGTAGATATGGGTTATGATTTGGTAACAGAGCTTGGAAAACCAAGAACTCTCATGGGTTGGAGGTCCAGGGAAGTTGTGGAAGTCAGCACAGTCATACAGGCAACCAGAATCATCCAGAATTTAAAGATAGGTCAAGGTGAATCAATGGGTTTAAAGCAGTCAATCAAAGTATCTGTTAATAATGAATCCAGAGCTTAGGTCGACCAGGAGGACAGAAACTAGGCATGCTGACAGCAAAGAGACTGACAGGTATATGAAAAGACCGACAGGTATATGGTGGACATCTCACTTAAGGGAGGCAGAAGCAGGTTGGAGGCTGCTCCATCTCCCTGTGCCAGGTATTTTATGTCCTTCCTGTTAGGGCAGGTGTCAAGCTCCCTGTGGGGCTCCAGTGACGTGCCAGTGGAAGCAGGTAGGTGTGCAGGTGAGGAGAAAGTTAGGCCAGGTTATATGTATTGGGGCTCAGAAAATGTTACCCAAAAATGAAGGCCTTAGAAGCAGCTCTCTCTGACCTTTTCTCATCTCTGGCCCTCCCGTCTTTGGTCCCTTATCCTCCCCCAAACCTAGCCATACAAACTAGAATCCCTCTTTCCCAGGGCAGTTTCTAGGAACCAGAATCTCTTTTCCCAAAGCCAGCCATAAAGCCTAAAAATATCACTTTAAATTTCCCCTTTTACACCTTCCTATGTAAAAACTAGCCACAAAGAAATTCTCAGCTGGGCATAGTGGCTCACGCCTGTAATCCCAGCACTTTGGGAGGCCAAG